TAAGTGAAGAATGATGAACAGCAGAAATTAAAAAAATGTAAAATACTTTATTGGTCAAACAAATTTACAGATGAATATCATAACTACATATTTAAAAAGTTTTCGAAGAACTTGCGCAAAAAACTGTTTGAGGAGGTCTGTAATATCTTTGAAAATGGATAAGTTCATCGATATTTAAATAAACGCATATATGACACATATAAAGTACAATGATAAGTATTACCAATAACTCGTTATATCACCGTGATAAAGTATCATGCAACTTATTCCACGAAATGTGGACAAAATATTCATTAATACAATGGTAAAGAAAAATTTACCAATAAACTATTACTCTATCTTTAAAATCTCACACTTTTGGTGCAAAAAAATGTTATCGATCGTCGTTTCCAAAATAATTTACTATAACAGGTGAAATTCTTAATTTCTGCCCGGATAGATGGACATTTACTTAAATAATCTTAACTTTATTTAATTTCCATTACCCTTTACCGGTCGTTATAAATATTTTCGCTGTGTTCCTGACACAGTGGTAGTTTTGAAGAGGCTCAAAAGATAAGAATCCTAAGCGCATGTGCAGATCTCAGGGTATACCATGCCATTTACCGTTAAGTAACGCGCTCCTTGACATCTTCTCTGGTTGTTGTTGTTTTGGATCGAACTTGCACAAGCGGTACCCGAAGACGTAATGTTTTTGCAGATTGGAAAACTTCTCTGCCTATTATCTGACAAAGTGATTGTCAGATATCTACCAGTGTAGCAACCTGGCTCCCTTATATCTGGGGACCGCTTGTGTCTCCACTGGGGAGCACTTTCCATAGACGGAATGACGTCATCACTGAATAGCTCTGGGCCCTCTTGACTGTCTGTGTCCGATTCCGGGATTCCAGTGGGGCCAGACTTTTCCTGTTGGTTAAACTCCTCCCTCAAGATTGTGTCAACTACCTCGTCACCAAAGCCATCGTTACTGTTTGATGTAATAGCCCGGCAGTTTCCTCGGTGTAGAAAAATTGCGAGTAAAGCGAAAAAGAGCTGAGAGAAAAAATGATATCGTCAGGTTTTGTTTTATAGACACGTCATTTTTTTTTTTAAGTACAGATTTTTTGAAATAAGCAATCTGGACAAAAGTCAAACTTTGCCGTGGTAGTTTTTATGGTAAAAGCGAAAAAAACTGTGCAAGTCACCAATCGGCCGTCCATGGACTAAGATTTGAGGCTCAATCGGCTATCTCGATGAATCAAACGACCATCAACATGTGTGATTTCAGATTTTTTCAAAAGATTTTCATCGTTTTCTGTCATCCTGTTGCTTAACAGCAAAAACACTAGCATGTTCGCGTCTACATTTCTATTTATAAATATGGTGAAAGGAACCTAAGTATTATAAAAACTCGTACAAATAGCGAGTAACAAGTCGATGAATTCTTCAGAGATGAAAACATGTCAGCAGTCTTTACCATGACTGTTGTGGTTTGTGATCATAATGTTAATAAAAAATTCTATAAAACTTCTTAAAGTCAAGGTTGCGACTAGAAAATTAAGAAACAAGGAGAAAAATACGCGGGAACCTTACCTTGTAAGTCTCCATAGCTGATTTATAGGTGAGCTTGTGGCTTCTTTAAAATGTTTTCACAACACAGTCTTCTTTATCTTATTCTCTGAAGTGAGTTTGATGTCGAAAGATGCGGTTCTCTCCCTTTAAATACAGTTTGATCGGTCCTGATTGCTGGTTAGGTAAAAATCTAAAAGTGGGGAACTACCGCTTTTTGTCCAACTAAATTACTTCATGGGTTATTTTCTTCGTTTCAGCCCATTCATATTGGTTTTAGTGCAGGTTCGTAAACAAAGAAAAATTCCGTCTATCATAACCGAGGTTGTAATTTTTGCCGGCCCGGCACACTCTAGGCCAGTAGCAGGTTCATTTAATTCCGGTAATAAACCGACATTATATGAGCGGCCAATAGAAATGTTGGACGATGATACATAAAGGAATTAGTGCTCAACTTACGAGGATGTTTATGGTCAAAAACTGCGTAACAGAGAAAATTTTATTCTAGGAATTATTTGACTATCTTTACTATAAATGCGTTCCGCGGAAAAAAATTCTCAGCATTTTTCTTCCTTCCGCTGCAATTAAAAGTTACATCAAGAGAAAAGGAAAAAGCGTTTTACCTTTTTTTTTTTTTTGAGTACTTCAACGCCCAATTAATTCCCCGAATTGTACTTCGTTCTCCTTTTCGAAAGTGTCTGTATTACTCAGATAACTTTGGAAAGGAACAGTAATTTCAATTTTTGTATTAATATCAGTTATTTACGCCTACTATTCGATGCTGTTTGTAGGTTATTATGATAAAGCTGACCTATTTATGATCACATTTACAATTAATGGTGTTATCCCAACACACTGCATAAAAAAGGAAAACGTCATAATTATTATCTAACTGATAATCTGACAGAAAAACTTATCGTAGAAGTATTTTGGTGATGGAAATACAGCGGACCCTACGCGGAAATAAATACAACTGAAGAGAAAACTGGCATTTGTCCAGAATATATCCTAGAGTGGTTAGCACCCTTTGAAAAAAGGAGTTACTCTGTTTCTTACACGTCATCTTAGATAAAAAGTTTTCAAAAGTGACCTATGATAGTTAGAGAAGCAAACATTATCTCGGCGGAAACAACTTCCACCTGGTTGTAATATCAAAAATTTGATCTCCGTGTTAAAAAAAGCTGATGCAATAAACGTAATAGTTGACCCAGCCCATAGCTGCTTCATCACAGGAACTCAATCACCGAAATACTTTTCCATTTTGAAATTAAAAGCAAGTTTCATACATTTGTTACTGTATCGTTTGTTATCTTCAGCTGTCCATATCTTTAAGTAATCTGTCTATATTGATTTCCGATTGCTTCTTGGTAGTAATTATAACTCCCTGGTAGATATCTTTAGATGTGTTCAGATATCGATGAAGTTATTTCGGTCATTTAATAACAAATGTTACAGGTTCGTAAATGGCTTAAATTCAATTTGAATCCCTTCTAATTCGCTGTGCTGTGACAGTACTAAAATGAAATAGTATTCCTGTATATCGGTATTACATATCACATAGAGACTTTGTCTAGACATTAAAAAAACTGTCACGCAATAACTGCATGCTCTGGGTGAATCCCTCAGTGGGCTCGTGTCCTTTGGTTTTCAAGAAAAGGGGGTTGAGATATTCTGCCTTTAGTGTACTATGTTTCATTTGTTAATAACGTGAAATGCGAAAAGCCCTCTTCTTTATCTCCTAGGTAGATTTGGCAATTCATCTCCCCAGTTGGCCGGCGTGAGCGCGAGTTTCGTTTATTTCTTCCTGTTTCCATGTATGGTATAAGATCCTGCTAAGAACAGCGAAAGATCATCTGAAGAGGAAAACCGTTTCAGTAGATCGAAGTGTGTCATATTTTTTATTAAAGCAATACTTAAAGCACATGCTATGATGACCGAGGGGACAAAAAATGTACCACTGGTTAAAATTTGATCGCGTGAGTTTTAGTTTGAAAGTATCGCAGTGACGATGTGAATGAATTTAATGTATTTATTTTAGAAAGAAAGAGGCATAGAATATAATTAATAAGGAAGCCAACCCCGGACATAAATCATTGCAACCCTAATCTTCCCTCCCTTCCCCTCTCCTCCTTGTTTTCTCAACTTTTTCAGAGCAGCCGCTGGCAAGCAAAAAAAAAACTGCTGCAGCAGATGCTGGTTTTTTTCTTGTCAGTTACGTGGTTACTTTACTAAATATATATCTTGCCACGAGAGAAGTGAAAAAAAGTAACACTGATGATAGTGAGTTAAATAGAAACGGCTGGACGGGTACATTTCCTTTGTGAAACTCAAATTTGCTCCTAATGACGTCAAAACACCAATGCAACACTGGTGTCACAAAGTACGCGACTTTTGACTGATTTCCTTTCTGCAAGTTAAAACGGTTCCTCTCCTTATCACTTCTATACTTCCCAAAGTGTTATATAGAGTTTCCCTAGATTATTGAGACTTTAAAAATAAAACCTGCTAAAAATCTTGTTGTTCCATGAAAAAAATGTTTCTAATTTTGTGGCGCTAAACACTAATTGGAACACTGTCCATGTGATCAGGCTTCGTTTCAGGGAGCGACGAGTAATTACTTTCATTTTCTAGGCATTGGCTATCTTGTTGATACTTACTGTATCGAAAACTCATCAAAAGTCGTCAAAAGACTTATTGTAAGATGAGATCGATTGATACCAGGGTTCTTTAATCGATAAATGAAGTACATAATTTCGACAAGTTTACCATACTCTTTACAATACCGAAATGGACGCATTCTTTTTGACGTCTAAAACCATTTTTAAAAGAACAAAATTGCAAGTTCCAATGCCGCCTTGTTCGACTCTTATATTTCAAAACGGATCATGATCATTTATCTAGAAATTTACTTCGATTAGAAGTCTAAGTAAATCTTATCACAAAGACGGAAGTACTTCCATCGCCGGAATTCCAAGTGAAATATAGTAAACTGTAAAGAGTTACGAACCGACAATTGTGTTTAACAGGGAATCGCTCAATTCCTCTAGGAAAATATAAGTTATTGCCTCCATCTATTTTTGCTGTTTCCACTAAAAACAGAGAAAAGACACCGGGCGAAGAAATGATGAGGAAAAAAAAAAAAAAAAACAGCTCAGCCCGACTCGGTTTGTAACCGTATCGAAGGATTTATCTTATCACGGTTGGAGACCAAATAAAATTGACGGCAGTTCTCCGAAAAATCAGAGAAACGTTTTTAGGGAGAATGGACGAGAAATGGAGCAGTAAAACAGTTCAGATTGCCGTTTAAAAGTCGTACAAACTCGGTTATACAATGGTGATCGACTACAACTGAATAGAGACTAGAAAGTCCTAGTATCCAGTCCACAACCGAGTCGAGAACGTGGCGCACCTGTGGTTGAACCACGCGTCACGGCTGAATAAACATTGCCAACTGTAAAATGAACAACACAAGTAATCGATTTCGTATTCTTCTACGACCTCTCCGATATAACAAGCGCTTGTAACATGAAGCCGCAAAGTTCTGTATTTTTTATCGCCGTTCTTATTTTTCTAGTTGATTTATCCGTAGAGTATTCCGAGCACAGTTTTGGTGGACGCACACATAGTAACCAGGATGATCATATCGCCTTCCTTGGAGAGAAGATGGCCAAAGAGTTTGACAAACTTTCCCCTCAGGAGTCCAGGAGACGGCTCAGGTACGTCATAAGTACATCGTCCAAAAAAAAGTTAATGAGAAATTTAGAAATTGTGAAACATTTGTAGCTAATTAAAGGAAGTATTTGAAAAAAAATTGATAAGCTCGTCATTATTTGGAGAAAATCGGTGTTTAAATAGAAGAAAACACTCTTTAAAAATAAAAAAATGCAAAGAAGTGTTGCATCTTTTACCGGCAAATTTATCTATCGACGATTGTGAAAAAAAATCTTGGAATTGTGAATTTATAAGGATTGGACGGTTGTCTGGTTTGATCCTAAGTAGCATCTCATTAAGTGAAGATTTTATCTCGACGAAAATTTTCTTTGTGACTTGAACAACTAGACAGTGATGATTGCGCTTGTCAACTATAACCGCTACTCAACAGTATCAAGCTTTAGTTCAGGTCAATCAATAACATTCTAAACTGTATCAAAAAAAAAGCTTAGATTATTTCTCAATATGTTTAAAAGGATTTATCACGACTTACGAAAGAAGACGATCAATCACACGCATGCTGTACGCTGCTCGTTATCATACTAAAATATCATTTAGTAAGTAAATAAAAACAGCTATGTAAATATTCCAAAGCATATTGCGTCTTTCAAATTTCACTCGTTTTGATTTGCTCCGTGAAGTTATTATTCTAACACCAAACCTGCCTCTTTCAATGCGTCACCAGTAAATTTCCTTGATGGACCGTTAATTGTGTCAGTATCGTTCGCAGGTAATGGCCCATACGATTTCAAACGGATATAAATATTTCATCCCGATAGGAACATCTTTTGTCAGTTCTTCCAAAAATATATTTTTGTAGCGAATGATTTCGTCAATCTTTTTGTTCTCATTCAGAATGCTAGTGCCTCGCATTGATATCAACAAAGACGGCTTCGTAGAGGAGGCCGAGTTGGAGATCTGGGTTCGACATAAGATGCAGAAGTGGACTGTTGATGAGGACGTGGACGCCATATTCAGAGACCTGGACATGAATAACAACGACAAGGTCACGTGGAAGGAGTACATGACTAGAACATTTGGATTTACTGAGGAGGGTGGGTATGACTTATACCAGGAGACTGGGGTTAATCTTGGTCCTCTCAAAGAGATGATAGCGAGTATTTCGCGGATGAATTGTCTCTCATGGTGGTCGCTGTGCTCGGTCTGTACGTCATGACTTCGAGCTAAAAGGATAGTTTTTCAAATTTTTAATTCAAAGTTAACCCAAATTTGTCCAAACTCTATTTCTATGAGTGACTGTTTATTTATCTTTTCTTACTAACACTGGATAGATTCGAACAAAACAGACCGTAAATATCAGATCTGCTCGAGTGTTTATTTAGCATTAAAAGCGTAACTTTCCCATCGTCTTTTAACTTAATAGTTTGCGTGGATAGCATCGATGTCAGGTCAACATATCTTTCGGTTGAACTTTCCGTTTACGCGAAACATGCACCACCATTTCCTGGTTTGCCAAATGCCTCCCTTTCAGAGCAATTTTACTGAGTGTAGTAAGGAATCCGGGATTGCTTCGTGTTTTATCAAGTTCGGTAACTGTCTCCTTAGAAGAAGGCAGTCACCGAACTTGCGTGACGCGTGATTAGCGCGCGCGCTTTGAAACTTCGTAAGCTTGAAATCTTCATAAGCAAGTTACGCGTGCGATTTTTTCGTGTGCGAGTTTTAAGATTTGAGTTCTTGAGTCGCAATTTTCGAGGTTTTTGGTGTCTTTTCTGAGTTTACTGTGTTACCGTTTCCCCGTTTTTCACTCGAATTAACGTACCTGTTTTTTAAAGAGATTTCCCTGTCCACTTCCAACCATTTCGGTCAGCTTTGCTCTCTGAATAGCTCGGTAAAACTCGCACCATCCTCAAAACCAATCATCTGCATGCAGTTTGCTTGTTTTTGCTTTGAGTTTTCATTGGCTAATAATAATGTAAACCTTTGTTCTGATTGGTAGCTGGAATTGCTTTGATTTTGGGTTTTTTGACACTTAATTGTAAGCTGCTTTATTAATAGATTTGGTTTTTTTCATTTTTACCAACGGCCATGACGTTTTTGTGAAACAGACATGCACATTAAATGGGAAAGATCAAACCTGGAAAAGTACGTTTTGTTTGATAAGAAGAAATGGCGATACAGTGACCAAGACAAAGATGCTATGCTTAACAGACAGGAGTACGAATATTTCCACCATCCAAAGGAACATGAAATCATGTTGCCTTACATTGCTGTGGTGAGCAAACAGGTTTTCCTTGTTTGGCGTTCATACGTTAACCCTTTACACCCTAACATCAGTATGTATAGTCCCCAAACTGTTCTCTGTATACTTTCTAAGGTGTTGACAAGGAGAATTTGTGTAACAATCAAAGGGCTTAGTTAGTTGCTGATCATTTCCTTTATTCTCCTGACCTTCATGTGTGATTCAGGGGGTAATGCTATAAGGAGAAAGTAAATGTTACTCACTCCTAGGAGTCAAAGAGTAAAGGAATTTAAAAAAAAGCGATAAGAAACCAAGCATCTCATACTAATGATATGGTTTTTTTTTTAAGGAAATACTCGATCGATATGATAAGGATCAGGATGGTCGGCTCTCTCTGGACGAATATTTGGGTAAATGATTCAGATAAATAATCGTAGTCAATGAGATTCAATCGTGAAGATCATTAATTGAAACGTAAACAGAATGTACCCTTACATGCGGTGTAAACTAATAAAAGACAGCAGTACTGGCTTTGTCGAACGCCGTACCAAATAAACTGGGTCACATCACTCAAAGATACATACACCTACATCACCATTACTTCAACCTTTGCATTTCTCGTTACACATGTAAGAGTCCAATGGATAGTGCTGTCTAATCCATCACCATAT